TGCTCCCTTCAAGCCTCCATGGTGGGGCAGGCAAAGAGGGTGCAACTCTGTCACCAAAAGAGTGCAGGGAGGCTCTTCCCGGTATCCTGTATGTGTGATGTCCTGGCATTCTGCAGCATCCCTGCGAGGAGAGGATCCCTGTGAGTGCTGGAGGGACCAGGAAAAGGAGCCCAAAAGTGTTATCTCCTCTCTTCCAGCTCCCACACTACATCCACAACCTCCCCTCTCACTTGACCCTCTCATCTTTCTTAAGAAGCCGAGCCAAGCTTTCCCACAGACCCAGACAGCTATTAGAGAAATATTATTAACAGATGGTTTGTTTTTTCCATAGGACCAGAGGCCAGTGTGAGGTAACAGGGAAAATATTAACCCATCCTACACCAGCCTGGGTGTGGAGTTGTGGCTTTGGTGGTAGAGCTGTGCTGTGTCCTGGCTGTGCCGGCACACAAGGGGTCTGCAGAGTGGGGTAGCAGGGGAAGCACTTGCACCCCATGTGTGCTGGACCAGTGGGGTGGCTGGAAACCCTGCCTTGGACCGGCAGTGGCCCCATGGGGTGGCTTGGGAAGGCTTTGATGGGGAAGAACATGTCCCCAAAACAGGGAGGGAAGGGTCCCCCCAGGCCAGTTAGAACTGGTAGGAGCAAAACCCAGCTGGCAAACTTCATGATGGGGAAGTTCGTGCTGGGTCAGATGAGCCAGCTCCACATCCTGCCTGTCCTGCCTCTTGCAGGGTCGATATAAGAACTAGGTAAAGAAAAGATGCCACTTTGAGAAGGGATGTCAAGGGATTTGGAAGATGCTGCATGGCATGGGTTGGCTCTTCCACTGGGTCTTTTTGTAGGTGGGTGGATGAGTACAAGACCCTCCTTTGGTACTGCTGAGTCTGCTTTATGCTCAAGGTAGGATGCTTGCAAGACACCACCTGCCTGTGCTGGGAGAGCTGCTGTGCTGGGAGAGATGATGCTTTCCAGCTCAGAGGGGTTTCTCTGCTGCCTCCTCCTGCAGAGATCCGCTGTGGGAAGCTAAATTATCATGTGCAGAAATACCACAAACCACGCTCTTTCCAGTGGTGTTTGTGGTTGGCACAGCGCTTGGCTCAGACCACGGCTGTTCCGGTTGTGCAGGTCTGAGCATGGAGATGGGGTGGCCAGTGGGGATGCAGCTGAGCCATGGGCAAGCTGAGCCATGCACCTTGGGGGACTGGGGTCCTACAGCCAGCCCAGGAAGGTACAGCCCATGGCAACCAGAGCACAGAAACCTCTCCTAGCAAACATCTTCACCATCCCAAACATTTAGCAAGCCTTGGGTGCTCAGGTCCCCAGGAGTGGGGGGAGGTGATGCAGCCAGCTGGCAGGATGCTGGTGTGCTTCATGTGGTTGCAGCCAGGGAAATTTCAGTGCTCATTAATTGTGGCATCTCCCAGGGCCGTGTGAGAGGACAAAGTAGCCCCAGCTACAGAAGACAGAGCTGGAAACCTGGCACTTGGTCCTTCCCTGCTTTCCAAAGCACCCTTTGGCTATGAGTGTGCTGGTGGGTTCAATCCTGGCTTTTCCCCAGGGGAATTCATTTCAGCTCATTTCCACATTTCCTATGGAGGGAGCATTTTCCATTTCTAAGCGGACTTGATTACAGGGAAGGAAAGGTTGCATGAAAGAGTTAATAGCAGAAAAATGGAGCAAACTTGTTCTTTCCTCAATCTCTGGGAGGAGAAAAAGCAAAAATTCTGTCCCAAGTGCATTTTTTTTTCCCTGCACCTCAGTTTGGTCTGGAATTGGACTAAAAGTTTATTGCTTGCTGTGCAACAAAATGCTGTGGGCTGGCACTCGGGATGGGGAGTGCTTGTCCCCCAGGGCATGTAGGCACCGTAGAGGGGCTCCCCTTGCCCATCTGCATGGCACTCTGGAGGGATGCCAGCCCCACACAGGTAGATGGAGGGGGTCCCCCACTCCTGGAGGACCTGGTGTGGCAGAGCCATAGGGCTCAGCTTCCCTGGCTTTGTCTGAAGAAGGGAAAGGGGACATCCTTCACAGGCATGTGTCCTTAGATTTCAGGACACGATGGCATGCTGCTAGGCCCAATGATTGCAACACCCCTTGGGTCAGTCTGCAAACTGCTGCCCAGCTATCAGCTGGATTTCTGCAAAACTAGCCCACACTTTTCCAATGAAATGGTTGTTCAATGCCCCGGGGAAGGAGCTGGCTGCTGGTGCTGGCTTAGCACCGCAGACCTGGAAACAGCAATGCTTTAAAATGCTTTTGAAGCCAGACACGGATCCAAGCCCATGGTCTGGTCAGAGAGCAGAGAGGATGTGCCCAGAACGTTGTGCCTGATAACAGTCCCTGGGGCTGGCAGCTGGACAGGGAGTGGGGTCCCCTGTGGGGTGGGGGGAGCCCTGTTTTGCTGGTTTTCTCTGCCAGGGTGCACGGGGTCTGACAGGCTGCAGCTGTACGGTGCCATATATGGTCAGCAGGCGCCTTGCACAAGCCATACCATTATCATTAAGTCTTTGCTGGCGCAGCCAACTGGCCTCCAGCTTGCAAGGCTCTGTGGAGGGGCTGTGCTGTTCCCGGGATGGATACGCTTTTCCCTTCCTGTAAGGAGTGGGGGGGTGGGGTTGGCTCTTCTGCTTCTCAGGGTAATTTCCTGGGAGGGAAGGAGAGAGAGGATAAAGCAAAGAGGAAATGTCTCTGGTGTGCAGATTCACAGGATGCCTCTGCTGAGCCAATGCATGAAGGCAGGTCCCTTTCCAGCACTGCCCTTCCTGGGAGCCTCTGGCTGGTTTTCAAAATCCCAGGTGAGCTCCCTTGCAGGAACCCTGAGGAGGCGTGCTGGAGAGCCAAATCAGGTCCAATGGACATGCTTGCTCTCTTGGAGAGCATCTTCAGTAGGCCTGAGATGCCTTGCAAATTTGTCTTTCGGTGTCCTTATCTCCTGGTGCCACAAGCACAGCTCTGCAAAGCCCACCCACCTCTGTGCCTGGGTGGTTATTTACACCAGCCAGGTTCATGCTGGTACTAAAGCTTTTCAGCTGGGGAAAAATGTTTTCTTCAGTACAGCAAACACCTGGCTCTTTTGGGGCTGGGGTGTCTCTTCCCTCCCCCAACACACGCACAGTTTTGTTTCACATTTTGGTGTCACTCCCCGGTGCTGCCCAGCCTCCCTACAAGGAGGAGGCCTTCTGGTCTGGCTGCCCCTCAGCCAAAGCACATGACACCTTGAGGCTATCCAAAGGCCTGAAGGAGCTGTGGGGACAGGGTTCAGGGGTGCCCAGCAGCAGTCCTGCCCCTCCTTGAGACCACCAGTTTCTCCTCTTTCCTTTGTTTTACCATCAGCTTCCACAGATGCACCTAAATTTGTCTTGGCTTGAAAAACGCCTGTTGTGCTGTTGGGTTTATGAGGTTTCAGTTCTGCACAGTCTGTGGTTTTTTTCCACTGACTTTGGATGTTGTTTATCCAAAGAGTCATCGTTTGATGCATCTGCGCAATAGTGTGGACAGGCTTCTCCACTGATGTATTTTGTAATCAGTGGAGCTACAGCTTTTTTTTTTGGTTGTCTCAACTTGAGACGACTTCCTACAGTCAAGCCTATGATGTTTTCTCCTGACCATTCGTACAAAGATGCTGTCAAAGTAGTTGTGTGTGAAAGGCAGAGTGATAGAGGTGGCAGCCAGCCCTGCGTGGCCCCATGAAGCAGCGTGGCAGTCTCCTGCTGCCTTTGTGCAACCAACTTGTGTGTGAACTGCTGTCAACTCTTTGCCCCTTGGAGCCGTCCTGGTCCTATGTGCTTCCACAGGATGCTCTGCCTGGCCCAAATCAAGCCCCTCTCTGGGTTTCATTTCAGCTTTCAAAGGCAAGGTGCCACTTTGGCCTGGACAACCAATCAATTTGCTGTTTAATGACAGCCTTTGGTCTCCTCCTGTACTTGTGGGAGCAGGTTGCAGCTGTGGCTGTAGCAGGATCAGCCTCCAGGCATTTCACCTCTCTCCCTGATAGCAATTAATGCTCCCAGTGTGATGAGGAGTTTGGCAGTACCCGCTTCTGGGTCCGAGTTCAGCAGTATGGCACTCATCTCCAGTGCTGGCCATGGAGAGTGAGTAGTTGGTGTACAACACCTTGGGGGGCCTTGCTGTTGGGGATCCAGCTCCCCACTGCTGCAGGTCCTGAAGCTCTCCTGCCATCCTACAGGATAGGAAGATGCTCATCTCCAGGCACGCCTAAGGGCTTTGGCTCCTGCTTCTACCTCCTGGGCTTGACGGCTTTGACCCCATCCCTGTTCCCTGCCCTGAGCATGGCCTGGGGTGGGGTTGTTCCAAGTCTGTGGGGGTTCCTGTGGGGTTTTTCTCAGCTTGCCCCTCAGGTTGAGTAGAAAGCCCTGAAAGTCAGGGAGGAAGATGCTTCTCCAAAAATATGGTGCCCCCATCCCTGGGTGGCCATGGGACAGCTCGAGCTCTGCCCTGTCATGGGGACTCCCCTGGTAAGCAGGAAAACACAGGCCAGCTCTCATGCAGGTGGGGATGTGATGGGAATGCCTGTCCCCCTGCCCCAACTTTCTTGGCTCAGGAGACAGGAAGGAGCAGTCTGGCAGGTGCCCTGAGCCCCCCTGCCCCACAGAGCAGGCTGACCCCCAAGGGGGATGCTGATGTTAAGGCACTGACTGTGCCAGGGCTCCCTGAATGAGGCTTGTGGAGATCCCAGGCACCGGTGGCCAGGGTGCCATCACAAGTACAGCGACATCCAGAGAAAGGGTAAGGAGAAATGCCTCATTCGTTTCTGACTCACAGCTGACAGCCTCTGATCCCTCCCTCCGTCCTCAGGCTGGGGAAGTCTCCTCCTCACCCTTACCCTCCTGCCTGCTCTTCCTCCCACAGAAACCAAGGGGAAAGCGGTAAAAAATATCTTCAGCGACTCCTGCCTCCGGACTGGGGCCTCTCTTGGCTGCTGGCTTTTCCTTCCCTGCTTTTTTTCTTCGATCCAGCTCGATGGTAATCTGAACCAAGCAAAATGAGGCTGCGAGACTTTCTATTCACTTTGCTGCTCCCAGCCGGCTTCCTGGGGGGCTGCTCATGGGCTCAGCGCCCAGAAATCACCACCCGGGTCGCAAATGCAGAAGGTAAGCCTGGGCTGCTTCCCCGGGTGTTTTTCCTCCCTGGGATCAGCAGAGAAGTCCAGTTGCTGTTTCCCTCCTGGGCAGATGCCTCCACTGCTGCACACGGCCACAGCTTTGTTGGGACATTTTGGGGAAGAGTTGTGTTTGTCGAGGAGAGCGATGTAGGATTAGAGAGGATCTGCAAGACGTACCCACTTCTAATGCTTTTTTTGACTCTTTCTCCTTGGCTCTGTCTTGTCGGGTGTTACCAGTAGCACTGGGATGCAGTGGGGAAAGATAACAGCTGATACCAGTTTAGCTTTCTGAAAGATTTTTGGTTTTGGTACTGGCTGTTAAGGTGCTTTTGCTCTCCTCTGCAATGATATTTGTGCCAGGGTGTGTCAGAAAATCATTAATTTTTCATTGGGTTAATTGCTATCATGTCTTGGTTTTATTTTTTTAAGTGGTTGCTGCAGCTGCACATTATTTTATATAACTAGTATTGGTCTTGCAAAGATAGTCTTCTAATGTAAATGGAAAAAAATGTATAGGAAGCTGTTAAATGCCACAAACCAATGTTTTCTGAATATATGCTCGATCCAGCTTACCCTTGATCCAAAACAGAAATGAGCAGCCTCACCCATGCATGTATGCTTGTGTGTCTCATGTGGGGTTAGGATGTTAAAAGTGGTCCTCTTAGCGCAGATCCTGGGAGCCTGCTAGGAGGGAAGCTGGGCTGCAGTCATGCGTGCCAGCAGCACACGGAGCCTGGGCTGGGGAGGTGATGCAGCAGGTCTGCCTGCCAACTTCTGCCTCTCCACTTCTTCCCAGATTGCCCCGTGGACCTGTTCTTCGTCCTGGACACCTCAGAGAGTGTTGCCCTGAGGGTGAAGCCCTTTGGGGACCTGGTTGCCCAAGTGAAAGATTTCACCAACCGGTTCATTGACAAGCTGACAAACAGGTACATCTCCCAGGGTTTTGTCCAGGCTGCTTTAGGGATGGGTCCTGGTGCCTGGTGGGATGCTGAGATCACCTTGTATGCCTGTCTGAGTATGGAGAGGAAAAAAGCAGGGATGCCAGGCAGGGTGGTGGGAGCATCTCCCCCCTCTCCGGGTCCACGGCCACCCTGTTTCTGCTCTGTCCATGCTGAGGGCAGCAGCGTGCCTTTAGCAGGGCTGCCTGCACCCCCACTTCAGGAAAGCAAGGGCTTTCTGGAGTGGCAGATGCAGCACCCCAGCCCCACCACCTCCTGCTGGCCTGGCTGGCTGGGTGGTTATTCTGTAGGGCCAAAGCGCTGCTGATCCCCATGCCACCAGCTGCTCAGGCCCAGGACAACCCAGGTGCTTGGGTGGCAGCAGGGCACCTCTGATGTTAAACCCAGCACTCATGGGTACCCTGCAGAGCAAACCCTCCCTTGCAACTGGCATCCCCCAGGACACCCTGCAACATTGAACCCAGCTTTGGGGACCCCTGTGGAGGGCCCTTTATCCACCCCACTTCCCAGCCCTTTATCTGCCCCCTCCTCACCCACCCTTGCCACCACCAACCCAGGCCTGACCCTGGATTTCCCAGGGTGAGGGCACCCAGGAGCACAAAAGCTCCCAGATAGGGGTGATGCTGGGAAAAGCTGGAGGCAAAGGCCATGGCTCACCTGCTGGCAGGAAATCCAGTGATGCACAGAAGCACCATGAGTCCTGGAGCGATGTGGGTCCTGGTCCTTGGGGCAGCAGGAGATGTGTGCTGTTGCCCAGAGAGGCACCATGGGGATGTCCCAGTTCTGCACAAGCTGGAGGGGCAAGGTTCCTGTCTCAAGACAGCTGGAAGGGGGTTAGCAGCTCACCTACCCATTGCCCAGGCAGGAGAGCTACCTTACAAGGCATTGAGTGACCAGGAGCCTCATGCCAGGCCTCCGTCAATGTAGCATGACTCTCTCCTAAGCAAGGCACCAGGCTTTGTCCAGAGCCACTGCTGTGTGCAGACAGAAGGATGGACCTCCTGAGCCCATCCCAAACACCCCTGTGCCCACCCTGCTGCTCTCTACCTGCTCTGGAGACATCTCCCTGCAAGCTACCACTGTGCACGCCATACTGCCAGGCACCCACAGCATGTTTGGCATGGATGATAGCAAGGCAGCTGGCAGTGGTGGGGTGGAGGGGAGAGTGGTAGGCAATGCTAAGGTGGCTTTGGGAAAGGTCCTGCTGGGGAGAGAGAAGATAAGCTTGGGGAAGTGAGGGAGCTCTGCAACCCCATCCCTTTGGGATTGGCCCCAGAATCCTGAAAAGACCCTTTCCAGGGCACTGGCCAAAGCACAGGGAGTCATGATGCCTCTGTCCCAGAGAGTCACAGGCGCAGGCTGTCAGCACACAGGACAGGGCTTCAACACACACTTATTCCTTTCTGAGTCAGAGCATCCTTCAGAGGGAGGCATTCCTCTTTGATTTTAACACATTCTGCAGTGGAAAACTCACTGCAGTCCTAGATGGGATGTTTCAGCAGTTACCTGACTTGCACACATGCACCTGGCTGCCTGGCTCAGCATCTCCTGCTCAGCTCCAGCTTCTGCAGCCTGGTACTTCTTCAGGAAGCCTCTCTGCCAAGCTGTCTGCTATGGACACCCA